AAGTATCTTAAACAATCAACACAATCTTCAGATCCAAGTTCACAACTTCTCAAAGCAAAAACTTTGTAATTCAGATGTTTATCAGCAGCATTGCAGCAGCAATGCAAACAGTTTGTGATTCTAGGAATGTTGTTGCTGTGAGAGAGATCAGTGTCTCAGTCCAATACGCTGCTATAAAAAAAAAAAATCTAATTATCAAGATGATCTGGTGAGGTTGGCTGTGGTTTGTCACCGACCGGTGCTGTAGTTCATCCGAGGATGTAGAAGAAGACATGTTCAGAGCGTCACACAGTGTGAAGTAACGAGGGTTTATTTATAGAGCACCTCAGAGGGCCTCACGCCTAAAGTGATCAAATCTAAAACAAAACAAGAACACAGAAAAGGACCAGATGAAGGGAGGAGATGTTAGACATACAGACTGCATGTTCCCTCAGTGCCTGTCAGAGCTGATGAGTCTTTAGCGTTTTAGAATCGTCTCCAGAGTCCAAGCTCCGTAAGCTTTTTTTGAGAGACTTGCTCATGAGATGAATTTTCTCTGCAGGAACTTAGGAACAAGGTCCAGCGCAGGCACCAGGGTCCAAATTCACTTCTGTGGAACTCTCTCCATCCTCCCTGTGCGGAGGTTAGTACTGTTGGATCGGCGCCTCCAATGCTGAGGATGCCTGATTGGTGGAGATTTGGTTTCTTTACCTTAAGCCCAACATTTTGCGTGTTTTGACTGGTTGTCGTTGTGAATCCTATTTCATCCTGAGCCCCCCCCCTCACTGAGTCATGTCAGGACAGATTGACAGATTGGCAGGTGGGGAGGGGCCTTGCAGTAATACACAGATTTTTAACATATGAATGATTTCATATTTTTGATACCTGCATGTTGCAGCTAAATCTGATCTGATGCAGCTCTGTGCATCACTGACTAAGATTTTCCTCTAAATGAATCAGAAACATTATATGCAAAGTGTTGGTGACAGTTAGGAAACCCCCGTGTGGTTTCCCCAACTGCCTGCTGTTGTTTTCTCTCACTCCCTCCTCTCTCTCTCTCCTCTGTCATTTCTTTCTGACCTAATTCAAGTCGCTTTTGTTTTAACTTTTTTTTACCTTTGCTGCATTTCTTTGTTCTAAGTGATGATGAGTGGAACATCTTTTCCCACGGTCAATTTAGAGCCTCCAATCAACCTAAGCCCAATTTGAATGTCGTTGGACTTTGGGAGGAAGCGAGAGTACTTGGAGAAAACCCACACAGACACAGGGAGAACATGCAAACTCCATCAGATGAGATTACCCACTGAAAAGCAGCTGTGTAGTCTGTGTGTTCGTGAGTGATACCCACTTATCTGTGTGTATTTAATCAGCCCCAACTCGTACTTACCGAGTCATTGTGTCTGTGGATGAGAGAAGAAGAGCTGACTGAATCAGAAATGTGATGCTGTTTACACTCTATGCAACATGTGAACCCTGTGGCACATGTAAAGCAGTTGCAGTCATCATGTAACAGAGCCGAGCGAGATCCCGACAGCGATAGACGCCGAAGACGTGCCGGCTCATCACTCGTATGGGTCCAGGTTTTGTTCAGTGCAAACTAACACCCTCCAGTTTTCACCCATGGGTCTATACCAGGGTTATTATAGTTAACGAAAACTAAAACTAATAATTTAGTTAACTGTAATAAAAACGACAATTACAAAAAAAACGAAAACTAAATAAAAATGACAATGAACAATGCAAAACTAACTAAAACTAAACTGAAATAAAAAAGCAAACTAATGAAAATTTCAAAACTATAATAACCTTGGTCTATACGCACCACTGCATCTCACCTCAGGCCACTCACACACATGGGACTAATACTGGGGTGTCAGGCAGGATACTTTCTATCACAGCTTTCCCACAAAGACGGGACATTTGCAGTTTATATACACATAGTCAAGGTACTTTATATGCTTAAAATGGACGGTGGTGAACGAGCTCTATAGCTGACACATAAATTACATGCTAGCTAAGTTTGAAGTGATGGTCCAGTCACAGTCTTACAATCAGTGTAAGTCTGTGAAGATTAAAACAAGCTCATGATGTCGGTTCTCACGCTCGGTTTAACAGCAGACGTCTGGTGTGGACAACCAGTCAGGGGGATTTCCTCAAACTGAAGCAAGTGTCATTTCTTCTTATAAGGATATAACATACATTCACTTTGTCCGGTTTATAGTTGATGTAACAAAAAGCTCGGCTTAATTAATTAACTTATTTCACTTAATCGGTGTCATCTGGAGATTAAGATCTGAGCAGTTTAAAAGAATTAAAAGACATCGACAAATGAATCAAATGTTTTAAAGCATTAGAGGTTAACAACATGTTCAACATGAAATATGTTTAGTGTGTAACACTAGTAAAAAGAAGCGTTTGTCAGATACCTGCGCTGACTTGTGAGGGTTTGTAATGTGACAGTATTTCTGTTGGTTGACGAACCTTCCCCTAGTCCTCAGTCGGACACCGTTAAGACGTGTGTGGTGTGATGGCGTCCCCTACAGGTGAAGCTGACTGAGTACATGTGGACAAGGCTGCAGTGAAGCAGAGGATCCCAGAACAGGAGAGACCTGAAGCTCTGACTTGAGCCTGGAGACCTGGCTCCTCACAGCTGACCTCTCCACACAGTTCATTCAGGTACTGTGTGTCTCCACGTGCTGAATGTGAATCTGTTTTTTATATTGTATATATAATATATACATATATATATATATATATATATATATATATTCCAGATGCAGAAGAGAGCATGACCTCTAAAAGTGATATATTCAGTTCAGTGGTTATATTCAGTAACTTTATTGAAATGATGCTCGATGCAGGAATCACATGCTCAAAATGACTTTTGGTGAAAAGTTTATTCTAAACTTTAGAGCAGAGCTGAAGTAGCTCGGTGTTTTCATGTGAGGACAGATGCTGATGACTTCACTGTGTGAACACGTTTCAACATGAACATCACTGCATTGTCATAGCTTCACAACACGCTCACTGCAAAAATGCATGTCTGAACACATCTGACCTTTTAATGTGGAAACACATTAAGAGCCTTCCACTGGATCTCAACGGGGCCATTAAGGAATACTGCTTACTCCTCCTCCTCATACCGGAGGTTCTATCAAAATGTAAGTCTTATTTTTAATATCCAACTTTCATTTCGCATCTCATATTCCCTCTATTCTAATGAAAATACAAAAAAACAAAACATGTCCGTCCTTTGTTTCCTATGATTCCTATCACACAGCGATCAGTAATCATGGAGACACCGAGACAAATACATGTAGAAACAGAACGGCCCTGCCACTTCGTACCCTTGATAACCATATATCATGTTTTTTATGTCTAAGTGAGCAATGGAGACCTCGATCACTGGCACAGCTTTAATAAAAAGCTTGGATTTGAAGAATAAAAAACATTATTGCTATTTGGGTGTAATATGTTTATGACACCCTCTCTTTTAGGACCTTTTCAACAATTCAGTGCCCGATGGAAAATAAGTTTGAAAACATGTTTGTCTTCCAATGTTTGACGAGGCCAAGAACAATAAGTGTCTAGATATTGGACGTTGCTTTCCTGATAAAAACAAATGAAACGATATCAAAGGTTGAAAAATATGAAAACATGGGATTTGAGCAGAAATATTTGTACAGGCCTTGATCTGTTGGACTCATTCGTGACGTAGACGAGGTTTGAAGAAAATATGAGCCGGGCGCTGCAGGACCTTGATCTGATGTCACGTTAAAGTGACCCTGTCGTAGATTGGTGAAAGTAATAATAAACTAAATGATGAGGCTTCATGTTCATATCTGTCATATCACAGGATAGGGAGGGTCAACCCTCTAAAATAAAATAAAATGAAATCCAAGTAGCTTAAAGTGGATAGATCAGATGATGTAGTGTTAGAATATTCTTCCTTGGGACGGATCAGCAGACCCATTTATTATCCCCATCGTTTGATTTTTTTAATTTGCGTGGTCCTGGTTTCAGATGACCTTTTCCCTGACTGATGCCAACGTTACATCATCATTTAAAATCTGATTATTGGTCCTAACTCTATATAGTTGCAGGGCAGCTCAAACTTTTTCATTATCTGACTCACAGAACTTAAAAGAGGTTAAAATATCTGAAAACATTGATTGCATGATCGAGATGTCTATTGTTCAAGAGCTGACGGCATTAAATTTTAATGGAGCATCAAGCATGCAGGTTAAAAACATGGGAAACATCCAGCATCTGAGCGTACAGGAACTGGAGGTGAGAACATTGGGCTCAGGCTGCATCTAGCATTTATTTTCATTTTAGTTAATCAGTTATTTATTTTCTCGGGTCATTGATGAACCGCTCAGACTGTAAATTATTACAGAATACTGGTAAATGCTGCCTTCAGTACGGAAGTCTTCAGTCAGTGCTTGTTTTGTCTGACAAACCATGACGTGACAGGTTCACATGTTATTATGACACGATGGTGACAAAGAAAACACTTTTTAAAGTTGATTTTATTCACCCAGATGTGTGTGTGCCGCCCGCTCATTACTTCCATCTTGTAGCATACAGTCTGACATCGTTAACAGTCTTTCACAGCGTTAATACAACTACAGCCCTCGCTCCAGTTCCACAGTCTAAGTGCTCACTGTTAGTATTGACCTTTTAAAATCTCGGTGCCATCTCGTCCTGTTGGAAGCTCCTGTCAGAATTGGCGGCTTGTTGATTGGATAAGTTCAAATTCAGTGAATTCTCAGACTGTTGTAACGAGGTCTGGTGTCTGTGCGCTGCAGTGTGTTGGTTGGACAGAGTCCTGCAATGTTTTGAAAAGCACCAGGCCGACTGCTGTGTGTGATGAGCACTCACCCAAACTAGAATGTGTTGAGTCAGCTGCACTGCAAGCCTCTGTCCCTCCCCAGTGTGCTATTTATACACACCCAAACCAGCCCCTGCACATACCAACACACACACACACACACTAATGTTGTGTGATCCACACAGAGCTCGGCAGACTTGATAGCTCCTTGTAAACAATAGTGCACACAAACCCTGGAGGCAGGGTTGGAGCTGTGCCTCAGGGTGACTCAGTTTTTGTTCCTGACACTGTTGAGGAGGAAGCGACAGGTGGGCTCCGAGGCTCCGAGCAGCAGAGTGCAGGAGACGCTCAGGCTGACCGTCAGCCCTCATGGGAGCAGCTGGACTTTTACCAAACCTCACAGGATCACATGTAGGACACTGAGGTAGGACCACAAGAAAACATTCAACTCAACTTCGAGAGTCCGTCGTGTTCTACGCTCTCATGCTCAGTTGCATGCAGGTTGTTTTGGTGACGCTGCCTATATGGAACATCTGGCCGAGGACAACAGACAGAGAGAAAATCTTCCCCCTGGTTAAATCCAACACGTGTGGTAATGATCCTTAATGTGCAGTGATTGAATAGATGAGAGTAGTAAACTGTTTGTGCGAAAGAATTAAAAACTTTAGTCATTTAGAAGAAGATGTTGTCTATTAAATGTTCTGCTTAAATGTTTGTGAAAGAAGTTTGTTGTTCAGGTGTTTTTGAGAAAATGTCAAAAAAACACTTTTACCTTAAATACAAGTTCCTAATGGTTAATTATGTCAATAGTACAGTAAAAAGGTCGTCCTATACAGTGAACAAATTTGGTCCCATTATATTCTGTTATTTGGTTAAATTGATAATAATCGTTATTTATGAAATCACTGAATCTGTTTTATGTATAATCTGAATTAACTGAATTATTGTCAAGGCATCAGATAGTAAATACTGTAGAGTAAAGTAGGAGTGCGTGTTAGCATTTTATGCTACGTACACATTGTGTACAAAGTAGCATAAAATGCTAATACTCAGATAAAGTAGTGTAGACTTGCTCTTGGCTCCACCAATCATTGAGTGGCTCTTATTTGAACCCGACGGAGCTCACAGTGGCTCGATGTCTAGTTTTTGCTGCGTTGAACCATAGCGTTGAACATTAGTATCATCAGCTGTTTACTCACCCATCCAGCAGAAATGTCGAGGTCAGCATCAAACTTCACCCACTTCACCCTCCTGCCTTCAGCTGTGCCGAGCAACACCGACGTTAAGACTCTTCTAAGTTAGCATGCTAGCCCCGCTAGCACTTACAGTAGTAGGCTAAATTTACTGTAGTGTCCAGTCTGCCCTGAAGAGGCAGCGCTGCTCAGAGGACGTATTATAACCTCTTGTCTCGTAAATGAAACTGTGGTTAAAGCTCTTGATGAGTAATCATCACCGCCACAAAAGCATGTTTTTCCCCTTAAAGTCTATTTTCTTCTGTTTTCCGCTCTTAACAGTGTGTTTCTGGCTGTGAACGCTGGCAAACACGTGATACAATAACCTCAGTATAATGACCGAAGATCTGTCGACCGCTGCTGCAGCCGCTGCTGCTCTGCTGCCGTGTTTTCGCACACACAGCTCCTCAACTCAACAGAATGCAGTTCCCTGTTTCCAGTAGAGCTGGTTTGTCATGTCAACACTGTAATACAACCTTTCCTTCGTTTGTGCTCGGTTGATGAATAGAATGAGCCGCAGTACGGTTCATGTGTCACCGGCTCAGGTTGGAGTCTCTGCACTCTGCAGCCCTGACCCATACGCGTGGTTGTTCTGTGGACTGTGGCGCGCGCTTCACCCTGAGTCAGGCTGCAGGAATGTCTGGTCACTGAGCAGAAGAAGATTATAATAGGTAACACAGGGTGCTGTCAGCTTTTGTTGACCACATCTGCGTAGGCTGTATTTGTTAGCAGCTATAAATGTGTGAGACTTCTCAGCTCAGTTGAATGCATCATGTGGGTGCGTTTTGTATTTGCACTGGTTGTGTCGGGGCCCAGTGATGGAAATCTTTAAGTCAACGTCCCCTTTTCAGGAAATCTATGGAGTCCAAATTGGTTTTTGTGACCCAAACCTCTTTTCTATCTTCTGTCTTCTTCTATCTAAGCTATTAAGCATCTGTCAGGGATTGTACGCAGTTAGATTTGTCAGGTGTAATGAACATTGCTGCCTCTAGAGGTCAAATTTTATGTGTCTGTTCTGTTCAATCATGCAGTGAACTGTTGTATTTGAATTCTCATTCCCCACTTCTTTCTTTCTCTCTTTCTCTTCTGTGCAATACGAATAAGGACTCAGGAGATAAGAAAGCAGTCAATTGGTTTGATGATTTTCATTTTCAAATAATTCATATTCGCATGTACATGCCCCTGGTTTGCATGTGCCTTCCTGTCATGCATTACTGTGGGAGAGGTGAGCAACGCCCCAAGGGACGGAGCTGGGATCGGACGTGTTCCCACAATATTTACATGACATCAGCGGTTCATAATAATGCGTGATTGGAGGTTATGATGGCGGCTGGAGGCTGTTCCTCTAATAGCATGTAAAAAGATCATGCAGTGTTTTGATGAACCGCATGAGGGAAATTGTGTGTCAGCTGCTGCGCAGTGTGTTTTAATGGTAATCCCAACAAAAAGAGAAATCTGATAAAGTCATCTCTGGCTCTTGGAAAAGCTGCGGGGCATTTTTCTCTGTTCTGTGACATTTTATCGGCCAAACAATGAATCAATAAACAAATTATTTTATGTTGCAGCTCATATTCATGTGATAATACAGAGGAAGCGGTA